GGGGCCTGCGGGCCCCGGCCGTCGCCTCGGGGCAGCCCCGGCCCGCCCCGGCTCCTTCCCTGCGGGTAGCGGCGCAGAGGACTGCGGAGCCCGGCTTGGGGGCGCCCGGAGTTGGGGGGCTCTGCCAGTGCCTGGCTTCCCGTTGCAGCGAGGCAGGCCGAGGGCGAAAGGCGTCCCTCCTTTCCGCTCCCCCGAGACTGAAACGGAGGGGCTGGAAGGGCCCCTGATGCCTGGGCCCCTGATCCCTGGGAGCGGTACCTGCTCCGCTGGGGGGCTCTGGTGGCCCTGCGGGGGAGGGGCAGAGGAAAGGCCCCATTCCTCGGGGCTCAAAGGAGGCAGTGGGCAGATACCCAACCCTTTGCTTGCCCCAACAGGAATGTGGGGTTGCCTTCCCCAAAGGCCAGGCCCTGGACACCACGCGCATCGAGTGGATCCGCATGGGCACCACTGTGGCCACCAACGCCCTGCTGGAGCGGAAGGGGGAGCGAGTCGCTCTCCTCATTACCAAGGGCTTTCGGGATCTGCTCTTCGTTGGGAACCAGGCGCGGCCCCGCATTTTTGACCTGGTCGGTGCTCGGAGCTGTTTCCCCCTCCCCCACGCTAAAGCGCCTGCTAGGCTCTGCTGCACTTTCTACAGCGGGGCTGACTCCCTATGCCACTTGGCACCACCTTCCCCGAGCAGCCTGGGGGGTGTGCGTGTGGCTGCACCTGGGATTGGCGGCTGTGGCCCAGCGGGGGGGGGGGGGGGGGAGCTGATTGGCTGGAAGCCCCCACCCGCCTCCTGGGAGCGCCCGGGAGCCGAGGGGCAGGATGGGCACGTGTGCGGGCTCTGCTCTGAGTTCCCACACCTGAATCTCTGTGCTTGGCTGGGGCTCCTCGGGCTGAGCTTCAGACTGCCGCCCTCCCCTCGTCAGGCCGACCCTCCTTCCCACCTGCCCTCCTCGTCATCCCCCGTCTGCAGGGCCTGGTGGCCTCACGGCTCCTTCACGGCCAGAGGCCGTGCTGTCCGGCATCAGCCAGGCCTCCGGGAGGCACTGAAGGCCCCTGCTCCTCCTTGGCCAGCCTGACTGCCGGTTGCTCCTTCTTTATCTTCTCCCCCGCCTCCCGGTCTTTATGTCTGGGAGGGCCCCCAGAGAGACCTGCTCCTCCTGGGGGGCGAGGCTTGCTCTGGGCCGAGGCTGGGGCT